CCACAGGATGGATATGGGAAGACTACCACCCACAGGATGGGTATGGGGTGACTACCACCCAAATGATGGGTATGGGGTGATTACCACCCACAGGATGGGTATGGGGTGACTACCACCCACAGGATGGGTATGGGGTGACTACCACCCACAGGATGGGTATGGGGTGACTACCACCCACAGGATGGATATGGGAAGACTACCACCCACAGGATGGGTATGGGGTGACTACCACCCACAGGATGGGTATGGAGTAACTACCACCCACAGGATGGGTGTGGGGTGACTACCACTAACAGGATGGGTATGGGGTGACTACCACCCACAGGATGGGTATGGGGTGACTACCCCCACAGGATGGGTATGGGGTGACTACCACCCACAGGATGGGTATGGGGTGACTGCCACCCACAGGATGGGTGTGGGGTGACGACCCCCCACAGGATGGGTATGGGGTGACTACCCCGCACAGGATGGGTATGGGGTGACTACCACCCACAGGATGGGTATGGGGTGACTACCACCCACAGGATGGGTATCGGGTGACTACCCCCCACAGGATGGGTATGGGGTGACTACCACCCACAGGATGGGTATGGAGTGACTACCACCCACAGGATGGGTATGGAGTGATTACCACCCACAGGATGGGTATGGGGTGACTACCACCCACAGGATGGGTATGGAGTGTCTACCACCCACAGGATGGGTATGGGGTGACTACCACCCACAGGATGGGTATGGGGTGACTACCCCCCACAGGATGGGTATGGGGTGACTACCCCCCACAGGATGGGTATGGGTGACTACCACCCACAGGATGGGTATGGGGTGACTACCACCCACAGGATGGGTATGGGTGACTACCACCCACAGGATGGGTGTGGGGTGGACTATCCCCACAGGATGGGTATGGGGTGACTAACCCCCACAGGATGGGTATGGGGTGACTACCACCCACAGGATGGGTATGGGGTGACTACCACCCACAGGATGGGTATGGGGTGACTACCACCCACAGGATGGGTATGGAGTGACTACCACCCACAGGATGGGTATGGGGTTTATATCAGTGTTAAATGACACTGATTTCAGTAATTATCAGGTGGAGAAGACCACGGTTCTTGGTGCTTATCAATGTATTCCTGCCAAGTACAGAAAGAAGTTCAAGCTAGGTAGACGACAGCTGGGTCAGTCCTTTGTTGATTTTGTAAGACAGCAGACCAAAGCTTTTTCCAGTTGGTACAAGGCAAATGGTGTTGCAAATTTTGACTAGTTGGTTCAGTTAACATTGGTGGATAACCTGCTGGAGTCTGTTGGACCATAGGTTCGAGTCTTTCTGCAGGATCACTCGTTGACCACTGCATTGGAGGCAGCCAGGTTAGCTGATTCGTTATCAAGCATGTAGCATTCAAATGTATTAGGTTAGGATGTATATACTGTTTAAATTATTTGGTGTTTTTTTTTTTAGTGAGGGGATGTTCTGCTACCATCTGCAGGTATCTTAGACCTACATTAGCCCTACTGTCTGCTGTCTCACTCTAAGTTTAGAGTTTGCCTTTATGTAGTGATAAAAGTTAAGCTCTATCTAAGAGTTGGATGGTTGAGAGGAAAGGCGGGCCCATTATTGTACTGTGCCATGGCGTCACTTTTACCCATGGACGTGGAAGCCTAGTTCTGAGCCCTCTTGGGGTGGGGGTGTTGCATGCAAAGAGTACGTAATCTTTATTCGGAGCATGTTAACACACTCACATAGGCTGCCTCCCCAACCAGCAAACCAGATACTAAGGATCTAATGGGGCCCCATCATCAGGTCAGTATCTAGGTTCAGCCAATCATATTGTGGATCTGGCAGTTGTGAAGGTGATGTGGATACCATTCATGTTTTCACCCTTGTTATTTCCATTTGAGAGCTGGTTGAAGCATGGCGGTCTGCATTCTGATGGCTTCAATTCTGCCTTGATTACCGTGGCGTGCACTATTACCTATTGCTGTACATAGTGTATATAGTGTACATACTTCTGTCTATACTTGTTGAAGGATAATATAATTCAAAGTTTTTCTGCTGTGTTTATTTTACTCCCCTTACACCCAGGATAACAGGCCTTTGAGTACCTGGGTCGTAATAACCTGGTACCATGACAAACTTGCCAAACTGTGTTCAACATTGGTCGATTCTATGCCAATGCATGTAACAGTGCTTATAAAAGCAAAGTATAGTTATATCTCTTATTAAATGAATTATGTCACATCATTACCATGTATTTTTTCAAATAAATGTCTTATTTCATTACGGGCCCAATTGGTATGCACACTACTGTACATTCCCTGGTATTCCTGCTTGCACCTCAAGTATTAGCCCTAGTCTGTTGTGGGAAAGAGTATCAAATGCCTACTTACCATCCAAGGCAGCGCTGTATAGCCCTTGTGGCTTAGCGCTTTTTTGATTATAATAATAATAATTACCATCCAAGAAACTGCAATCCATCCATTCCTCTCACTCCTGTATCACTTCTGTTACTTTGTCAGAGTGCCCCATCAGAAATAAACCCGTGGTATGGTTTGTTTGCAATCGTGTCATTACGATTTCGTGAGTCGTGCCTCATCAGGTTTGTAAGAAAATATTTGTCATCTGTATGTGTACTTACATTTTTGTACTTACCTATTTGTGGTTGCAGGGGTCAATTCATAGCTCCTGGCCCTGCATCTTTGCTGGTCACTACTAGTTTCACTCTCTCCCTTCTCCATGAGCTTAATCGTACCTCATCTTAAAATTACGTATAGATCCTGCCTCCACTACATCACTCTCGAGATTGTTCCACTTTCTGACAACTCTATGACTGAAGGAGTACTTCCAAACATCACTGTGGCTCATCTGGGTTTTCAGCTTCCAACTGTGACTCCTTGTTGCTGTGCCCCATCTCTGAAACATTCTGTCCCTAGCCACTTTGTCAGTTTATCTCAATATTTTATCTCATTATCATATTCTCTTTATCCCTCCTGTCTTCTAGTTTTGTCAGGTTGAGTTCCCTGAACCTCTCCTTGTAGGACACACCCGGCAGCTCCAGGACTAGACTTGTTGCATATCTTTGCACTTTCTCTAATTTCTTTATGTTCTTGATTAGGTGTGGGTCCCATACTAGTGCTGCATACTCCAATATAGGCCTGACGTAAGCAGTGTACAGTGTCGTGAATAACTTCTTACTTAGACGCCGAAACACTATTCTCGGGTTTGCCAGGTGCTCGTATGCTGCAGCAGTTAATTGGCTGATGCACACCTCAGATGTGCTCGCTATGATGTTCACCCCAAGATTCTTTTCCTTGAGTGAGTTTTGCAGCCTTTAACCTCTTAGGCTGGAATCTGCAGTCTTTTTTGTCCTTCCCCAAGCTTCATAACTTAGCACTTTCTGGGATTAAACTCCAGGAGCCATTTGTCAGACCAGGCTTACAGATTGTCTGACAAATGGCTCCTTGTAAGCTTACCTGATCCTCGTTCACTTGTATTCTCCACATTAGCTTCACATTGTCTGCGAACAGGGACACCTCTGAATCTACCCCTTCCGTCATGCCATTCACACATAAAAGAAACAGCACCAGACCTAGGACTGTCCCTTGTGGAACCCCACTCGACACATGCACAAACTCTGAGACCTCGTCTCGTACCAACACACACTGTTTCCTTCCGTTAGGTATTCCCTGATCACTGCAGTATTTTCCTTCCTATTCTTACCTACTCCTCTAGCTTTTCAACCAGTCTCTTGTGTAGTACTGTATCGACAACCTTCTTACAGTCCAAGAATATGCAGTCTACCCATCCTTCTCTCTCCTGTGTGTTTGTGTGTGTACTCTCCTGTATGCATTAATAATAATAATAATAATTGTGGAAAATTTGAATTTTCCTAAATTCAGCATGTGTAAATTTGAATAATATAATAGTAATTGTGCATTAAAATGTGATGCTGATCTGACCCTTTGAGAAATTTCGTGAGGGGGGGGATGTGGAACAGCCACTAAGTAGATGGGGAAGGATGCCATAGTGAAACTGAATGTGTGAACACTGGTCTGTTAATTGTGGTTTGTACGTCAGCTTATGTGTGGCCAGCAGTAACACTCTGGTTGATCAGACCCTGATAAACCATGAGGCCTGGTCTCAGACCGAGCTGCGGGGGCATTGACCCCCAAAACCCTCTCCAGATAAGCTCCAGGTATGCATCATTGAAGTTCAATTGGTGTATATTCGCCTCAATCTGCAATACAAAAATTGCTGACACGTTCCTGCTGAAGAATTGAGATAAATAATGTGGAAAACACTTACAGTTCAGCAACAAAGACGGAAAAATAGGGAAATCCGCTTCTTGCTGGCAACACACCTTAGTTAAGTGATACTTACCCACAATGTGAAAAAACCCCACCCCCCTTTCCCGGGTTCCCCAAACCCCCCCCAAATTTTTTTTTCCCCCCCCTTTTTTTTTCCCCCCCCCCCCCCCCCGGGGGGCCCCCCCCCCCCCTTTTTTTTTCCCCCCCCCCAAATTTTTACCCCCCCCCCCTTTTCCCTTTCCCCCCCAAAAAAACCATTTTCCCCCCGGTTTTTTAATCCCCCCCCCCTTTTTTTTTTTTTTTTTTCCCCCCCCTTTTTTTTCCCCCCTTTTTTCCCCTTGGCCCCTTTTTAATTTTTTTTCCCCCCCCCCCAAACCCCAATTCCCTTTTTTTTTCCCCCCCGGTTTTAAAACCCCCCTTTTCCCTTTTTTTTTGGGGGGGCCCCCCCCCCCCCCCTTTTTTTCCCTTTTTTTTTTTTTTTTCCCCCCCCCCCCCCCCCCCCCCCAAAAAAATTTTTTTTAAATTTTTCCCCCCCTTTTTTTCCCCCCCCCCCCCCCCCAAAAAAACCCCCCCAAAACCCCTTTTAACTTTTTTTCCCCTTTTTTTTAAGGCCCCCCCCTTTTTTTTTGGGGTTTTTAAATTTTTTTGGGGGTTCCCGGGGAACCCCTTTTCCCCCCAAAAAAAAAACCCCCCCCCCTTTTTTTTCCCCCCCCCTTTTTTTTTTTGGGGGGGGAAAAAGGGGGGGGGGGAAAAAAATTTTTCCCCCCAAAAAAAGGGGGGCCCCCCCGGGGGGGGGGGGGTTTTGGGGGGGGGGGGAAAAAAACCCCCAAAAAAAAAAATTTTGGGGGGGTTTTGGGGCCCAAAACCCCGGGGAAAAACCGGGGGGGGGCCGGGTGGGGGGGAGGGGGGGGGGGGGGGGGGGGCGAATTTGGGGGTTTTGGGAATTTTTTTTTGGGGGGGCCCCCGGTCTTTTTTTTTTTTTTTTTTTTTCCCCCCCTTTTTTTTTTTTTTTTTGGGGTTTGGGGGTTTTGGGTTTGGGGGGGGGGGGAAAAAAAATTTTTTTTGGGGGGGAAAAAAGGGGGGAAAAAAATTTTTAAATTTTGGGGGGGGGGGGGTTTTTTTTTTGAGGTGTGGGAAAGGAGTAGTATGGTGGGGGGCATGGGGGGGAGGGATGGGTGGGCATGGGTAGTGATGGTGGGAAATGAGGGATTTAAAGGTGGGGGCCCAGGGAGTTGATGGTGGGGGCCCAAGGGGAAAGGAAAAGGTTTGTGGGAAAGGGGGAAGTGATGGGGGGCATGGAGGGGGGTGTGGTTTTTGGGCATGGAGAAGTGGGATGGTGGGGGCATGGGGGGGATTGGGGGTGTGGGAAAGGGAGGGATTGAGGGTGGGGGGCATGGAGGGAGTGAGGGTTTTGGGAAAGGGGGGAAAAGTGGGGGTTGTGGGGCAGGAGGGAAATTTATGGTGGGGCTTTGGAGGGAGTAAATGGTGGGGGGGGGCATGGAGGGAGTGATGGGTGGGAAAGGAGGGGTGATGGTGGGGGCGGGAAAGGGAGTGAGGGTTTGTGGGCAGGGAGGGGGGTGATGGTGGGGCCGGGGATAAATGGGTGGGCATGGGGGGAGTGTGGTGGGGTTGGAAGGGGGGGTGAGGTGGGGCATGGAGTAGTGGTGGGGGGGCCTGGAGGAGTGTTTGGTGGGGGCAGGGGTTTTGTAAGGGTTAGGGGACATGGAGTAGGATGGTTTGGGCATGGAGGGGTGTTTGGAGTGGGGATGGAGTAGTGAAGGGTTTTGTGGGCATGGAGGGAGTGTGGTGGGGCAGGGGAGTAGTGAGGTGTGGGCATGGAGGGAGTGTTTTGTGGGCTGGAGTAGTGATGGTGTGGGCATGGAGTATTGATGGGTGTCGGCAGGGGAGTATGATGGTTGGGCATGGAGTATTTAGGGTTTGTGGGCTTTGGGGGGAAAAGTGAGGGTTTGGGCAGGGAAAGTGTGGGGTGGGGGAAATGGAGGGAGTGATGGGTGGGGAATAGTAGTGTTGGGGGGGGGGCATGGGGGGGGTTAAAGGTTTGTGGGCATGGAGAAGGGGTTTTGGGGGCCATGGAGGGAGTGAGGGTGTGGGAAAAGGGAGAAAGGATGGTGTGGGCAGGGGTTTTAGTGATGGGTGGGAAAGGGAGTAGTGAGGGGTTTTGGGCATGGATTTGTAAAGGGTGTGGGCATGGAGTAGTGTTTGGTGTGGGCATGGAGGGAGTGATGGTGGGGGGGCAGGAGTAGTGAAGGTGGGGGGCATGGAGTAGTGATGGGGTGGGCTTTGGGTTTAGTGGGGTGTGGGCATGGATTTAGGGGTTGGTGTGGGCATGGAGTAGTTATGGGGGGGCATGGGTAGTGAGGGTTTGTGGGCTTGGGGGTAGTGATGGTGTGGGCTTTGGAGTTTGATGGTGGGGGGGCAAGATTAGTGTTTGGTGGGGGCAGGGGAGTGTGTTTGGTGGGGACTTTGGGGGAAAGTGAGGGGGTGTGGGCATGGGATAGGGGAAGGAGTGGGCATGGAGTAGTGGGTGTGGGAAATTGGAGTAGGATGGTGTGGGGGGCAGGGAAAGTAGTGAGGGTTGGTTTTGGGGATGGATTTGTGTTGGTGTGGGAGGGGTTTTATGATGGTGGGGGGCAGGGAGGGAGTGTTGGTGTGGGAAATGGAGTAGTAAAGGGTTTGTGGCGGGAGTAGTGATGGTGGGGGCATGGATTTAGTAAATGGTGGGGGCTTGGGTTAGTGATGGTGTGGGAGGGGTTTTGTGAGGGTTTTGGTGGGCAGGGAAAGTAGTGAGGGGGTTGGGAAAGGAGAAGTGAGGGGTGTGGGCATGGAGATGATGGTTTTGGGCATGGTTTAGTGTGGTGTGGGCATGGGGGAGTGAGGTTTTGGGCATGGAGTAGTGAAGGGTGGGCAGGGTGTAGTGATGGTGGGGGATGGATTTAGTGGATGGGTGGGAATGGATAGTGAGGCGGGGTGGGCAGGAATTTGAGGGTTTTGGGGGCAGGGGAGTAGTGAGGGTTGGGGCATGGAGTATTTGAGGGTGGGGGCATGGATTTTAAAAATGGGGGTGGGGGATGGGGAGTTGGGGTGGGCATGGATTTTGTGAGGGTTGTGGGCATGGAGTAGTGAGGGGTGTGGGCGGGGAGTATGATGGTGTGGGCAGGGGAGGGATTGAGGGTTTGGTGGGCATGGGGGTGGGTGTTTGGTTTGGGCATGGAGGGAGTGTTTGGTGGGGGCTTGGGGGTAGTAAAGGGGGTGGGCATGGAGTAGTAAAGGTGGGGGCATGGAGTAGTAAAGGGGGGCGGGCATGGAGTAGTGATGGTGGGCTTTGGAGTGGGTGATGGTGGGGCATGGAGTATGTTTGGTGTGGGCATGGAGTAGGGGGGGGTTTTGGAGCATGGAGTATTTGATGGTTGTGGGGAAAATTGGAGAAGTGATGGTGTGGAAGGGGTTAGTGAGGGTTGTGGGCCGGAGTAGTGATGGTGTGGGGATGGAGGATTTTGGTGGGGGGCATGGGTAGTGTTGTGTGGGATGGATATTGTTGGTTGGGCAGGGGAGTAGTGAGGGTGTGAGCAGGGGAGTAGTGTTTGGTGTGGGCAGGGAGTAGTGATGGTGGGGGGCCAAGGAAAGGGGGGTGGTGGGGGCTTTGGGTGTGGGGGTGTGGGCAGGGAAAGTGGGTGATGGGGGGGGCATGGTAGTGAGGGTTGTGGGCCCATGGAGTAGGGGAGGGTTTGTGAGCATGGAGAAATGAGGGTTTGGGGGCTTGGGTAGTGATGGGGGTGGGTATGGATAGGATGGGGGGAGCTGGAGTTTTGGTTGGGGGGGCATGGAGTATTTAAAGGGTGGGGGGAAATGGAGTATTTGATGGGGGTGAGAAAAGGGGAGTAGTGATGGTGTGGGCATGGAGTAGGAGGGTTTGTGGGAAATGGAGTAGTAAATTTTTGGGAGCATGGAGGTGATGGGGTGGGGCATGGAGTAGTGAGGTGTGGGAAAGGGGAGTAGTGAGGGGTGTGAGAAAGGAGTATGGGGTTGGGCATGGATTAGTGATGGTGGGCCCAGGAGAAGTGATGGTGTGAGCATGGATAGTGATGGTGTGGGAATGGAGTATTTAAAGGTTTTGGGCATGGAGTATGATGTGTGGGGAAAAGGAGGGGGGGGTGATGGTGTGGGCTTTGGAGTAGTAAAGGTTGTGGGAATGGGTATTGATGGTTTTTGGGAAATGGGTAGTGAGTGTGGCAGGGGTAGTGATGGTGTGGGGGCCCTTTGGAGTTTTTTGGATGGTGTGGGCTTGGAGTAGTGATGGTGGGGGCATGGGGTAGTGATGGAGTGGGCATGGAGTAGTGATGGGTGTGGGCATGGGGGAGTGACAGTTCGGGGCCCAAACCCCGTTACCTACCCAAAATTACTTGAAACGTAATAATTGGTTTAATATCCTGAAAATTCTTATGTAATTTCTCAAAAATTAATAACAATAAAATAATAAAAATTTAATAATAATAATAAAATAATAAAAATTTACTAATAATAATTTTAAAAATTTAATAAAAAGGGAATTTTTAAATTTTTTTGAGAAAATTACCTGAAAAACCCATTACCTAAATTTAAATTAAACCTGCAAAAATTTTTGGTTAGTTAAGTGGGGACCTAAGGGGCCCCGTAAGTTCCCCCTTCGGGACTTAAAGGGGCACGAAATTTTCCCCCGTCGGGACTTAAGGGGCAGGGTTAATTTTCCCCCTTTTTCCGGGGGTTAAGGGGCACGAAATTTCCCCGTCGCGATTTAAAGGGGAAACGTTTTTTCCCCCCATCGGGATTTTAAAGGGCCCCTTTAAGTTCCCCCGTCGGGACTTGGGGGGCACGTAATTTTCCCCCCGTGGGGAAAATTAAAGGGGCACGTAATTTCCCCCCATCGGGAAAAAGGGGCATGTAAGTTCCCCCCTTTCGGGCCCTTAAGGGGGCACGTAATTTCCCCCCGTCGGGACTTAAGGGGCACTTTAATTTCCCCGCCCCGGGGACTTAAGGGGGGGGGGTTAAGTTTCCCCCCTTTGGGACTTAAGGGGCACGTAAGTTCCCCCGTCGGGCCCTTAAGGGGGCACGAAGTTCCCCCGTCGGGATTTAAAGGGGGAAAGTAAGCCCCCCCCCGGGATTTAAAGGGGGGCACGTAAGTTCCCCGCCCCCCCCCCCCCCCCCCCCCCCCGGGAAATTTTAAGGGGCACGAAAGTTCCCCCTCGGGACTTAAAGGGGGCACGTAAGCCCCCGCCCGGGCCCTTAAGGGGCCCGTAATTTCCCCCCGTCGGGACTTAAGGGGCATTTAAGCCCCCCGCCCGGGACTTAAGGGGCACGTAATTCCCCCGGGGGAATTAAGGGGCACTTAATTTTCCCCCGTGGGGCTTAAGGGACCGAAATTTTTCCCCCGTGGGAATTAAGGGGAAAGTTTTTTCCCCCGTGGGGGATTTAAAGGGGGCACTTAAGTTCCCCCGTCGGGAAAAGGGGGCACGAAATTTTCCCCCGCCCGGGAAATTAAGGGGCACGAAAATTTTCCCCGTTCGGGATTTAAGGGGCACGTAAGTTCCCCCGTCGGGACTTAAGGGGCACGAAAGTTCCCCCGTCGGGATTAAGGGGCACGTAAATTTCCCCCCGTGGGGGATTTAAAGGGGCCACTTAAGTTCCCCCGTGGGGGATTTTTGGGGCACGTAAGTTCCCCCTTTTTTCCCCCCCGGGACTTAAGGGGGCCCCCGTAATTTCCCCCCGTCGGGATTTAAGGGGGCCCCGTAATTTCCCCCGTCGGGATTAAGGGGAAAGTAATTTC